GCTCAAAGAACTCTATTTTACATAATACTGCCACTTTAACGTAATGCTGAAATGATCAAGACTTTCTGTCGTTTTTCAAGAATAGAATGAGAAATGCAATGCTAACTACAGTTTAAGTCACAAAAATTTAAGCTGGAAAATTTCTGGATAATCAAAAATCTCTACAAGCACATAGTTATGGGGGGGAAGGGCCAGTGGCTGTATTGACACGTCTACTACAGCCTTGCATTTATTGACTTGAAGATTCAGAAGGCTACTTTGAGCCGACATCTTCTCTTTCCATCTCCGAGACGGCAGACATGCTGATAAGGACCGGCAGTCAGAGAGACGGAGAGGATGTGGGGGGGCAGCCTGACGAGGATGTAATAACTCCACACCTCGTCTGCAGAGGGAGACATCAAAAGACCCTTGACTAAGATGAACTCTGACAGAGTCTGGGGCGCAGCCCATCAATATCCCCCTCCGCCATTAAATCATGATCCAGAAAGTGACCAAGGCACTCGCCGGCAAAGCGTGCGCGTGCCGACAAAAAGACGGCGACACTAACGAGAGAGCAGGCGACAGATTCGCACATGGTGAAGACGGCTATCTGAGGGTTGAGCAGAATCGCTAATGAAAGGCGAGCCTTTTTATATCCCGGAACAGCATTCCGGCAGACGGACAGAGTGAACACGACTGCCAGGGCTTCGCTGATTAAAAGATTTCACAGTAAACATCTAAAAAGATCTGCGCTCCTCGACTGCTCTTGAAGGACATCACCGTCCTCATCATTCAGATCAGGAAGAACAAATTCGACTGTTAACACGACGAGAAAGTGCTGGATGTTTACCACATCGCAGCGCTACGTTGACTAATCTTGGACATGCTGATCTTTAATTGGATGCCGAAGTCATATTTCTCTTATTTTCTTTCTTCATACGTTTTGAGTTTTTAAGCACTAAAGGAGTAAATAGCAAGTTATACCAGCAGACAGTCATTGCAATGCCAAGCACAGGAAACTTTAAAAACACAGGAACTCAGAGTTCTGCCCTTGTGAGGAGAAGAGCAGAGGAACATGGCAGATCAGTCATACAGACAGCCTATGCAGGAACAAGTCTCTAATGCAGATCTATGGAGCCGGACAGGGTCAGCGGAGGCACTGGAGTGTGTTTTAGTGCACCATAACCCAAGACGAATGACTGAGGAACAGTACAGCGCCATGAAAGAGAATATATATATATATATATATATATATATATATATATATATATATTCAAGTTCCCAAAACACACACTCTCCCATATAGAAAAGATGTGTAAAATGAAAT